GCCAATGCGGCTTCCGTCGTCATCGTGGGACCACGGATATGATCTTCGCCGCCCGCCAACTTCAGGAGAAGTGTCAGGAGATGCGGACCCACCTGTACTCTACCTTCGTGGACCTGACGAAAGCCTTCGACACGGTGAATCGGGAAGGACTGTGGAAGATCATGCAGAAATTCGGCTGTCCGGAGCGATTCACTCAGATTGTGCGTCAGCTGCACGACGGTATGATGGCGCGAGTCACGGACAACGGAGCTGTCTCAGAGGCATTCGCAGTGACCAACGGAGTGAAGCAGGGATGTGTGCTGGCGCCTACCCTCTTCAGTCTCATGTTCACTGCCATGCTGATGGACGCCTACCGCGACGAACGCCCTGGAATCCGCATCGCCTATAGAACGGACGGTCATCTCCTGAATCACCGGCGCATGAACTTCCAATCGCGTGTATCCACAGCCACCGTGCACGAACTCCTCTTCGCCGACGACTGCGCCCTGAAAACCACCTCAGAAGAGGAGATGCAACGGAGCATGGACCTGTTCTCCGCCGCCTGCGAGAACTTTGGGCTGGTTATCAACACGCAGAAGACGGTGGTGATGCATCAGCCGCCTTCCAAATCAGCCACAACCCCCAACGCGCCGCCGCAAATCAACGTGAATGGGACTCAACTGCAAGTGGTAGAGAACTTCCCGTACCTGGGCAGCACGCTCTCCCGCAACACCAAGATTGACGACGAAGTCGCCAACAGGATCTCGAAAGCCAGTCAAGCCTTCGGCCGCCTCCAAAACACAGTTTGGAATCGTCATGGTCTCCAACTGAGCACAAAGCTGAAGATGTACAAGGCCGTCATCCTGCCGACGCTACTGTACGGAGCGGAGACCTGGACGGTGTACACGAGGCAGGCACGTCGACTAAACCACTTCCACCTCAGCTGTCTCCGCTGCATCCTGAGGCTGAACTGGCAGGACCGCATCCCCGACACCGAAGTGCTGGAACGGACGGGAATTCTGAGCATCTACGCCATGTTGAGACAAATGCAGCTGCGCTGGAGCGGCCACCTGGTGCGCATGAACGACGAGCGACTACCCAAACGACTCTTCTACGGAGACGTCGCGACGGGTTCTCGTCGTCAAGGAGGCCAAATTCGCCGTTACAAGGATACTCTGAAGTCCTCCCTGAAGCGCCTGCAAATCAACCCGACCAACTGGGAAGAGCTCGCCCGCGATCGTCCGACATGGAGGAGAACAGTGAAGACGGGCGCTGCTATCTACGAAGCCAACCGCATCGCCGCTGCCAAAGTGAAACGCGAAGTCCGCAAATCACAACTTCGCCCAATACGCAACGCCGCCGCACAACCTCTCCCTACATGTCCTCGATGTCAACGGACATTCTGGGCACGAATCGGACTTGTTGGACATCTTCGAACCAACTGCACCTCTCGAACTGCCCCAGCCATCGTCCCCCCGCCCGCCTCTTCCTCGTCCTCTCTTCCGCCAACTAACTCTGACACTCCTTCTGCACCACCACTTCCATCCTCCTCCTTCTCATCCACTGCCCCAGCGGTGGCCGCTCAGGCTGCCGTCTCACACATCGCCAACCCCAACACAACAACCGACATCACCTCTCCCACCTCTCCCGATACCACTGATGCGGATCAGGACTACACCTGCCCTCACTGTGACCGCACCTTCACCTCACACATCGGCCTGGTCGGTCACTTGCGAATCCATCGCACAGAGACTGGCGAACCAGTGCCTGGAGCACCAACCTACATCCACCGCACTCATCTCCACTGCCCACAATGCCCTCGCACCTTCACTCATCGCATGGGTCTATTCGGCCACATGCGCATCCACGAGAGCGGAATTGACCGCAGCCTTGACACATCCACCCCGCCGAGCCCCACTCCCAATCCACCACCTTGTGCACCCACTAACCACTCCCCAGCCGACATCGACGCCACCGACCTTACCACCCCTCACTCCTCCCCTTCCTCCTCCTCTTCCTTCATCACTGCCACAACGACG